CCGGTCTAGGAATTATTCGGATTAGAAAACTCCTGGACTTCCCTTTAAATTAAGTATGATTGTACTTGCCACACAATTATACTAATGCAAAAATGGTACAGGCATCGAAAGTTCTCAATTAATAACTGTGAAAGTGCATCTAGAACACTACGTTGAGAGCACGTAATAAGCTATTATGCTGTAAGCAATAAGCTTGAAATGCGAAGAAGAAGAAGGATAAGAAGAAGTGAGGGTTCGATTCCCGCTCCAGCAGGTGGAACTTTTCGTAACCCGAAATTTTCCATATTGGTCTACTGGGTGTTGTATGTTGTCCTCTGGTTGAAGACGGTGCCAATCCTCCGAAAACTGATTAGATTTCAATATTCGTGCATTTTGTAATCTTTTGAATATTTGTGATTTTTTGAATATTTCAAAGCTCTTGAATTTGTATTTTTTTTCAATCTAGATTGAGTGATTTGAAAGTTTGTCTGGAATTCATTTCCAAGATCCGAGATTTGATAAATTTCAAATGACCCACATCCTTGGTTTTTGTTTTAAGTTTGGGATCTTAAACAACATGCTGGTCGGTAAATGCTGGGTAATGCGCAATACAGATCCCATTGAGATCACTAGCATCTTCCCAGCAACTCCTATCCCTACCTCCCCGTGGTACCGGCCGGGAACTGTGAGCAACCTTAGGGAAGATCGGGTAACCAACTCCGGTGGGAACTTTGGTCATAGGCTGACAGGGAAGGGGGGGGGGGGGGTTGCTTCGACAAGCCTGAGCGTCTGTTCTCCAGGAGGAGCGGCTCACAACAGCGTCTGTTCCCCATGTTATGGGGCGGCTGATCTACGTCCGAGTGCCAGTGAAGGACTCTAAGCACAACTGTGCACCCTGGTCCTCCGGAAAGTTAGGGGGTTGGTGTCAGGCTCTGCGAGCCAGCCGTAAAAAAAGCATTGCAACGGAAAATCAGCAACAGAGGAATACGAACCGAGACCAACGGCAACGACCCCAGCGACGAAATAGGACTTGCGATTGGAAACTCGGCACGTGGAACTGTCGATCTCTCAATTTCATCGGGAGCATCCGAATACTCGCCAATCTACTGAAGGACCGCGGATTCGGCATCGTACCACTGCAGAAGGTGTGTTGGACAGGATCCATGGTGCGAACGTTTAGAGGTAATCATACCATCTACCAGAGCTGGGCACAGCTTTCATCGTGATGGGCGAAATGCAGAAGCGCGTGATCGTTTGGTGGCCGATCGACGGAAGAATGTGCAGGTTGAGGATCAAGGGCCGATTCTTCAACTTTAGCATAATCAACGTGCACAGCCCTCACTCCGGAAGCACTGATGATAACAAGGACGCATTTTACGCGCAGCTCGACCGCGAGTACGATCGCTGCCCAAGCCACGACGTCAAGATCTTCATAGGAGACCTAAACGCTCAGGTAGGCCAGGAGGAATTTAGACCGACGATGGAAAGTTCAGCGCCCACCAGCTGACGAACGGGAACGGCCTATGACTAATCGATTTCGCCGCCTCCAAGAACATGGCCATACGTAGCACCTTCTTCCAACACAGCCTCCCCTATCGTTACACCTGGAGATCACCACAGCAGACAGAATCGCAAATCGACCACGTTCTGATTGATGGACGGCACTTCTCCGACATTATCGACGTCAGGACCTATCGTGGCGCTAACATCGACTCTGACCACTACCTGGTGATGGTCAAACTGCGCCCAAAACTTTCCGTCATCAACAATGTACGGTACCGACGCCCGCCACGGTACAACCTAGAGCGACTGAAGCAACCAGATGTCGCCTTAGCATACGCGCAGAATCTCGAGGCAGCGTTGCCAGAGGAGGGCGAGCTCGATGTGCCCCCTCTAGAGGACTGCTGTAGTACAGTAAAAGCAGCCATCACCGACGCAGCCGAGAGCACCATCGGGTACGTGGAAAGAAGTCGACGGAATGAATGATTCGACGAGGAGTGCAGAGCGATTTTGGTGGTGAAGAACGCAGTGCGGGCGGTAATGCTGCAGCATGGAACCCGACAGAACGTGGAACGGTATAAACAGAAGCGGAAACAGCAGACCCGCATATTTCGGGAGAAAAAACGCCGCCTGGAAGAAGCGGAGTGCGAGGAAATGGAACTGCTGTGCCGTTCCCAAGAAACACGGAAGTTCTACCAGAAGCTCAACGCATCCCGTAACGGCTTCGTGCCGCGAGCCGAAATGTGCAAGGATAAGGACGGGACGTGAGGTGATTGAAAGGTGGAAGCAGCACCTGATGTGCACCTGAATGGCGAGGAGAACGTAGGCACAGGAGACCAGTGCAATGGAGGAAACGACTACGTCAGTGCAGCAGAGGACGGAACTGATCCAACTCCCACGCTGAGGGAAGTTAAGGATGCCATTCAGCAGCTCAAAAACAACAAAGCAGCTGGTGAGGATGGTATCGCAGCCGAACTCATCAAGATGGGCACAGAAAAGTTGGCCACCTGCCTGCACCGGATGATAGTCAGGATCTGGGAAACAGAACAGCTACCGGAGGAGTGGAAGGAGGGGGTAATCTGCCCTATTTACAAGAAAGGCGACCATTTGGAATGTGAGAACTTCAGAGCGATCACCATTTTGAATGCCGCCTACAAAGTGCTATCCCAGATCATCTTCCGTCGTCTATCACCTAAAATGACCGAGTTCGTGGGAAGTTATCAAGCCGGCTTAATCGACGGCCGATCGACAACGGACCAGATCTTCACCGTGAATACCAGGTCCCAACGCATCATTTGTTCATCGACTTTAAGGCGTCATACGACAGTATCGTCCGCACAGAGCTATGGAAAATCATGGACGAGAACGGCTTTCCTGGGAAGCTGATCAGACTGATGGACGGTGTGCAAAACTGCGTAAGGGTTTCGGGTGAACTATCCCGTTCATTCGAATCTCGCCGGGGACTGCAACAAGGTGACGGACTCTCATGCCTACTTTTCAACATCGCTCTAGAAGGTGTAATGCGACGAGCCGGGCTCAACAGCCGGGGTACGATTTTCACGAAATCCGGTCAATTTGTGTGCTTTGCGGACGACATGGACATTATCGCAAGAACATTTGGAACGGTGGCAGAACTATACACCCGCCTGAAACACGAAGCAGCAAAGGTCGGACTGGTGGTGAGTTCGTCAAAAACAAAGTACATGCTAGTAGGCGGAACCGAACATGACAGGATTCGTCTAGGAAGTAATGTCACGATAGACGGGGATACTTTCGAGGTAGTGGAGGAATTCGTTTACCTTGGATCCTTACTGACGGCTAACAACAATGTGAGTCGTACCTACTACGGGCTCCAGAAGAAACTACGGTCAAAAAAAGATTCACCCCCGCACCAAATGTACCATGTACAGAACGCTAATAAGACCGGTGGTCCTCTATGGACACGAGACATGCTATATGCTCGAGGAGGACCTGCAAGGACTCGGAGTTTTCGAGCGACGTGTGCTAAGGACGATCTTCGGCGGTGTGCAGGAGAACGGTGAGTGGCGGCGAAGAATGAACCACGCGCTCGCTGCACTCTACGGCGAACCCAGCATTCAGAAGGTGACCAAAGCCAGAAGGATGCGGTGGGCAGGGCATGCTGCAAAGTTGGTGTTCGTTATTGATCCGGTTGGCACAAGAAGGCGAGGAGCACAGAGAGCACGATGGGCGAACCAGGTAGAGCGTGATCTAGCGAGCATTGGGCATGATCGAGGATGGAGAGCGGCAGCCGCAAACCGAGTATTGTTGATTATGTCTTATCTTAAATGTGATGCTGTACAAATAAATGTATGTATGTATCTTAAACAACACAAAATAAAAAAAAAACCATGAGTACGAAACCTTACAAAACTTTCTGGTTTGGAATATTAAAAATATTAATATATATGGAATTTGTCGAATCCAAGGCAAGATTCTGAATCATTTGAGTGATCCAGAACCTACTTGTTTAAGCCTTGGATTTTAATAAAAATCTATCTAAACTGAAATAAGTCCCAGAATCTTGAAGATATGGTCCACGTCTTGGATCTTTAAAAAATATATCTAGCCCAAAAACTTTTCCCTGGATTTAAATAGTTCAAGTCTAAGCCTTCTAATAAGATTATTGTTTAATTATCCTACATGAGTGTTCATCTCATTATAGTTATACAGTTATGAATAAGGATTGACTAATATTTCCTTGAATTCAATTAGGAAAATCAGGAAATCACAGGGAATTCCATTTATTACCTGTAAATTCAGCGAATTTTCTTTGGAAAATTACCTAAGATTCCCTGATTTTCCAATTTTTCGACACCCTGGTATATGGACGTGCAAAAGGAGATCACCTCATCGCCTTATTTCGACAATCGGGAAGGAAACATATTTTATGACGGGAACAAAAATATGTGCTTCTTATACAATATGGAGGGGCACCGGATGAATCCCTGTCCCAAGCGGAAAGCATGGATGCAAGAAAACGAACAAACGAAGGAAGGTCAAAAATAAGACGTAGAAAACCATCAACAGCAGGACGAAGAACACAGTGGTAGCAGTACGGATGCAGATGAGCAATTCCAGATAAATTTGCAAATCCAATAATTTTCGTATTTTTTTTATTTCGCTGAAAGTTTTCAGAAACGTATAAAAAGGGTTAAAAGTTCCTTAAAATAAACCAAAGAAATAATTGTGGCTTGAAAGGTTAAACCATAGGACCATCTCATTCCATGGATGTAATATCAATTCCAAAAACTAGATGCGCGATATTTTCCAAATAAAAATAAACGTTTACAAGAAATCCGACACTTCGCCGGATAAGAAATTTGTCGATTACGAAAGAGTGAATTCCAACTCTCCTTCGCAAAATGTTAGACCCAAGTTTTGCAACCCTTGAGAGCAATTTATTCCACTCTTGAAGCTATGAATAATTTTCATAAATATTCAGTGCAACTGGCCCAATAGGAATGTACCAGAACGAAAACCGAAAAAAAAATCGCGCTTACCATTATTGTTTTCCAGCGTCTGTTGCTTCTGCTGTTCCTGCTGCTGCTGCTGCTGTTTCTGTAGTAGTAGTTGTTGCTGCTGCTGTTGTTGCTGTTGTTGTTGCTGTATTTGCTGCTGCTGTCGTGACAGTAGCTGTTGCTGCAGGTGCTGCTGCTGCTGCTGTTGCAGCGGTGACATGGCCGTTTTCTGATGAGGACTAGTGACTTTACCCGCTGTGGTATGTGGTCCGGCTGAGGATTGTGGAATTTCTGTAAAAATATGGTCCATCAGTTTGCTTCGATTGGAAAATTCGAATGACACCTACCGCTATTCTGCGGTGTCGTCTGTCGCTGCAGGAAGGCATGGATGAAGAACATATCGAAGGTCATTCGTTCTTTGGCGTTCCGTCGCAGCAGTCCCATCAGCAGGTCAGTTAGCTCTTTCGACGTACCAGGGGGGATCCTGCGAAAGCAAATGACGAGTTAATTCAAATTCCGTTGAGAATGAAATGGTTTGAGAATCGACATACTTTGGAGCTAGATTGGCATTCTTCTCGTAGAACATCTTCAGCTCCTGTGGTGTTTGGGCCTGGAATGGTGCCTTTCCGGTTAGGCACTGGAAAACGATGGTCCCAAGTGACCAAAGGTCCGCCTTTGCGTCATACTGCAGTGACATAATCACTTCTGGTGCCTGTTGGGAGTGGGACAATTCCAAATGAAAATCTCTTCTGGAAAGAACGGACATCTAGCTTACCATATACATAGGGGACCCGCAAAGGGTTGCCGCCATATTTCCGTCCTGAAGAAACCGGGCGAAACCAAAGTCGGCTGTAACGAAGGGTGGAAAGTTTAAATTTATGGTCCGCGATAAAAAAAAAACTAAAATCAAAAAGCAAACTGCACACAAACCTATTTTGAGTGTGATTTTTGCGGGTGCTGGAAGATGTTTCCCACAACCGTGGGACAGTAGAATGTTCTGTGGTTTGAGATCCCGATGGACGACGCCGACTGCATATAATGCCTTCATTGCACTTGCTGCGGTGGAGAGAAACGACGAAAGAGTTACGATTATGGTGCAAACTTCTACCGGTGCCTATGTAGTCGTCTAAGATGCTTGGTTGCAATAGGTTTCGGTTAGGAGGATTCTCACCGCGCACAGGGGAAAAGGATGGTGTTTATGGGAGTTTAAGGAGCTATTTTATCACAAACGTGACTGCACTTTATGCGATCATTTTTTTTTGTTCGCATTAATTACAGATCATGGGAATCGAAAAGTACCGTTTCAAGTTTAAGAGCACAATCATTGCCAGATTTAGTTACATCATTTCGAGCTATATAGTTTCACAAGTGTTAAATAACTTAAGGTGTATTTTTCTCTCCCGTGAATCCATCTAGTCTGCGTAGCTTCGTGGTGCACGCTTAGAGCAAGAGAAACTAACGGGGATGAGAAAAAAATGTGGACTACAATTTCAATTACCTAATTGACATAAAAACAGTCGTATCGTGTCCTCGCTGAGTGTTCCTTTCACGGCCAGATAATCCGCTAAATCACCGCCGTTGCAGTACTGTAACAAAAAAGGGAGAGAGAAAGGGAAATTTTAATTAGTTTAAAAGAAACTTAAGTTGAGAAGGTTAAATGGGCTGAAGACAAAAGTAATTTGATATGACATTATATTAATACGATTCATGATCTTCAAATTTGTAACTGTTTTTGAGAGGCACCTGATAGTTGTGGATAATCTGAGAAATACCAATATTCTATATCAGATAAACAGATAAGTTATAAGGCGCTAATACAAGAGACGCAAAAAAATGCGGTAAATGCTAAAGAACCGCACTATTTAATTTGTTTTTCTATACGATGAATTACTAAACAAAAAATGGCAAACATAACATATTCGATCGCTCACGGGAAGATGCAACCAGCATCACTCACTGTCTTGAAAATCTAACAGTCCAAAAGCAAAAATCAATTTCCTTTTAATAAAATTAAATCACAAAGAGTAGCGGATATCACTCATTTTTGATTGTGCCTCAAAGTTCTCTAAACTGGCTTTAAACATCTCCAGCGTTTGCCGTTGAAGACCTCTGTTTATTAGATCTTAGGGGCCACACAATAATTCTTGACAGTTCAAGCTGATTGCGACAACACACAATGGTCCAGTATGGTAATTTAGCAGGAAAAGTAGTCCTAGAGCTTTTGCTGTTATATTTAGATTGATGGTGTCTTAGATTGTTAGTGTCCTGGTTAAAAAAAATCTATCTCTTTACATTCTCATTTTAGAGTAATATTTCAGAAGTGGATTAATGTGTACCTAAAAAATGTTATTTTTTAGCTATAAATAATTTGTTTAAAATTTCTCATGAAAATCGTCTTCAAAAACCTTTTAAACTTGGATAAAATATACTTTTTTTTCCTAATAAAGCGAATTGATATCTCTTAAAGATCATGAGATATCAACGATTGTATTTATAAAATACACCTTTTTCAAATTGATATTTACTAAGCATGGGGCAAATATTCACCAATTTTCAATTTACTATTTGAAAGTGCTCACAAATAAAGATACATTACTTTTTAAACTCGTTTAAAATTAATTTGGCTTTGTTATTTTTTTAAATATAATTGTAAATACCGTGGGGGACCGAAATCCGTACAGCATCGAAATCCGTACACCTAATACAAAAAGTAGGCGTTTTGTATGACATGTACGGATTTTGATTCATTTCTTAGGTGTACGGATTTCGGTTCGCCACGGTAATGTGTTGTTAAAAGAGATGCAATATTTTATTTGCAAAAAAGTGTCTTTAAAAGCTTAAACAATCTTTCGAAGATGACTTTGATGTGAAATTTAAAATAAAAAAAGTTAAATATAAGAAACTACCGCTAGACCTAACCTTCTGATTCAGAAATCTTATAACATTTTTGACATTTTGAGCTAGTCTACCATTTGACGAATATTCGCACTAGAGATAAGTAATTGTTTAGACTAAAATTAAATGGTTGTGTCACATGCCCTTGCTAATGATTCGGTCAACTCGTTCGCGCTTAGGCCCGGGACGCTGCTGTCTACCCTTAGAGCTTCGATGAAGGGATTCTTATTGAATGCCTGCGTCTTCCACTTCTGCTCGCTTACTTTCATCCTCCGCATTTCCACCGGCGTCCGTTCGCCGATACTGTACCGGATCGCCTGATGGTCACTATGAGTGTACTCTTCGCACACTCTCCAGTTCATACTTGCCACTAGCGGCGTACTGCAGAAAGTGACGTCGATAATGGATTCCCTACCATCTTTGTGGAAGGTGCTGACGGTTCCTAATTTGGCCAGACTGACGTTCAACCTTGCCAGAGCTTCCAGCAGGCTATACCCTCTTGCGTTGGTACATCTGGTCTTCGTCCAATGAGCTCTCCGGTGAGACCATCTAGCATCTGGTGGAATTGCTCAATTGTCCACCTCGGGGGTGCGTAGCAACTACATACAATGGCGATCACGAAACCTTCGTATGAGCCCGCCACAACTTGTTGAATGGGATACCTGCCCATGACTTGTATGGCCGCCATTCCTGCTCTATCCGCCACCCAACTATCATTATCGAGAGGGATTCACGTCCTCCGTTGTGATCTCGTCCAGATCCCTGCACTCGACGACTGACTTCTGATATAAAGGCTCTTACCGTAGGGCCCCACTCTTTTTCTCCACTCTTGGAATTCTCGATCTGCCACTCTTATGCTGGATTTGATACCGCGGTCACAAGTTGCTTGATCTCTTTGTGTACGTTGTCCTGACCTCCGTCATTTTGGTTCTCCCAAGCTGCAGTTCTTGAGATTTGTTACTGCTGAATATCTGGCTTAGCCCAACGCCTGGCTGCTCTCCTTGGAAACCTTGGGGTCCTTGCTGCTCACCTTGCGACTTACTGCTGCTGTTGTAACTCGCAGAGGCCCCCAGGTTCAACACTGGTGATCTCTGCAATATCCCGCTCCTTGCGAACATGTTCGCTTCTTGCCGTCGTCCTTCATATTTTTTATGTTTTTTTTTTCATTTTCTTAATTTTTATTTTTTTCCTCCGATTTTCTTCATTTTGATGGGTCCCGCCTCCGGACCGCTATCTCCACTCAGTGTATGTAGTCACCTATCGTGATCCCATGGTTATCTATGCACGGTTATCGTGATCCCACGGTTATGTTGACACGGTCCTTCATAGGGGCCGTGTTCAGAGCCAGATCGGCCTAAGTCAGAAATGTTACATTTGAGCCTACTACTCACCAACCATCAATTGGTGATGAGTTTTGAACGTATCCGGAGGCCTACCAAGGTTTTATCGGGACGGGGGCAGCCACACTATTAGCCTACTCGCCATTTCAAGAAGGTGTAACCCTTCTTTACTCAGCGAGCAGAATAGCACAACTGTCAGCCCTGTAGCGTGGTATCTTACTGGCGTCGATCCCCATGTGCCGGTAGGCACTCCTGCGGGTTGTATATATGTATGTGTGTATCTCTGTATGTATGTGTGTGTGTCTTTTTTTGTCGTTTTAGTCTTATGTGATAAAAGTGGGCTCGGTGGCCTAATGGTAGCCATTTTTGCTTACTGGGCAGAAAATTATGGGTTTAATCTCAAGCCCCTTACACAATTGAGCTCGTAGGATTGCATAATTTTATTGTCAGGCTTTAGAATATCGCGTGATTCCATATCTAATTTATCCTCCCTATTAAAAAAACGTCCCTCCTGTGACAACCGTGGAGATGCAGAAGTGTATTCGGTTGTCAAACTAACAATCCTTCCCTTCCCCGATGACCGTAAGAACGTGGCCGGCGCCGTTATTGTCCATATAAAGTATTGAATATTCTAAACGTGTACATAGAGAATACATAGCTCAATCACGGAGTAGCAACTACTGAAATGTACAGTCATCTAAGCTCAAGCTCAAGCTCAAGAGTTCTGACGAGAATACCTATGGAATTTTTGTTTTAAGTGTTAATTCCAGAAATGCTGAGGAGGATTTCTAAAAAATAAATTGAAATATTCTAAGAGCGTTCAGGCTTACATTCCAATATAATAATGAGGGAATTCTGAAAAAATAATATTATGTATGCATTCATTTTCCATCAGATGTCACTGCTGTTGTTTGCGATGACATCTATCGGAAATTACGCATAATCTGTTTTCTATTAGTTGTTCACAGATTCACAGTGTAGTAAAACAAACCGAGAAATTCCTTTCACAGACTGCACAATAGAGTACCTGACACTGCAGAACATGTCTGGCATCTCTATATATGCATTTCGATGCACATCCTAAATCCCTTCTGTTTGCATATTCAGCACAAAAAATACTTTCTAAGCTCCGCCTCTAATAGAAAATAGGAGAACTTTAAAGAAATTCTGAGGGAAAGTTTAAAGAAAATTCAGAAGAGAATTTCAAGGGAATTCTGAAGCTGATTCCTAAGAATTTCTAAGGAGAAATTTGAGTTCAAGCAAAACTCATCAATGGCTGAAAGTTAATAAAGTAACCTAACCCCAAGCAAAACTCTGAAAAGAATTTCAGAGGAATTTAGATCTCATAAAAATTGCGAAGGAATTTTATGAAAGATCCCAAGGAAATGCTCAGGAGAGTTTTAAATGAATTCCAAAGATAATTCCGAATATAATTTCAAAGTCATAACAAGTAGAGTCACAAGAGAATCGCGCGATAATTTATTATGAACATTATTTTACATTGATGCCACGTGGAGTCTAAACCCGAGCAGGAGAAAATAGCTTAGACATACCTTATTCTGTTCCAGATAATAACATTTGATTTTGAGCAGTAAAATTTAGTATATGTCAATAAGGGGTAAAATCCCGAGCAGGAACGAATATCTCGATACCTTAAATTGGTATGGATTAGCTTGAAGGAAGAGGTAAAATACAAAAAAAAATACATAAAAAAGTAAGAGCTTGTATCCAAGACAACTTGTGATTTGACGTAACACTACGTGCTCGGTATCAATATTTGGCGACTGTGTTAGGGAAACCGCTTTTTCCCATCATGGAAACGCCTGGTTTTCAATAGATAATAATAAAAAAGCGAAAATTTATCGAAAGAATTTCTTGCTAAAATTTTTCAACTGCGAGATATTCGTGATCAATTCGAGATTTAGTCCTTACCTTAATTCGAAGTGGTTCTGGTTAATTGATAAGATCATGTGGTATTCGGTCATTACGAGAATTTTGATGAACCACTTCAATGCTGTTACGCATTTGACCACAAACGTTTGGTTGCCGGGTACATTATCAAAGAGCTTCGGGGATGATGTGGCTGGCAGCAAGGTGAGCAAACGTTCTATTAAAATTAACTCTTGAGTAACAAAAATTTATGGTGGTCCTGAAAAGAACCGTTTGGTCGTGATGGTTGAGTAATGCTGAACTATTAGGGTTTTCAACACGGATGAGGCTGGCGAGCTGTATGTTGCTTGGAACGAGGGTGACGCGCTTGGCATAGATGGCCCACAGCGGCTCACGACGAGCAACTGAATCCGATCAGTTGCGGTGCGGATTATTACTCCTTCTTCGGTGAATCGAAGGCT